TACTATTATTATTATTATTGTTATTATTATTATTACTATTATTATTATGACCAGGACTACTACTATTACAGTTATAAGTTATTATGGCAACTGCATCCGTTACTACTTTTTAAGTACTAGTGCTAATTGATACACTGTAACACATTGACCGTTTATTCACCTGAGCATTAAATTGAAATGATAAACGATTTTCACCACTCATTTTGCACCAAGTTTAGTTAAATAAATGGACAGTGTTTAGCATTTGTAAATTGTTAATATTAAGTTGTAATGAAATTCTGTAAAATTTGGATGTAAAAGAGAAAGGAAGGGTAGGAGTAAGTGAATCAACTTTCTTCTCTTGACGCATGTAGGAGAGGAAGCTGGATGTGGGAAGTGTCAATTTCTGAGTAGCTGAACTAAAGCCACTCTAGCCAATTAGATTTTCAGCTATTGTCTTTTTTTTCAAGATTCTTCCGTGGCAAGTTTTCCTGCGTCGTTTCGAGCCAGCGTGTAACCGAGGTCCGCTACTCCCTACAAAAAGGCCCGGAAGCCCCGAAACCCGGCACTTAGTTTTCACTCTTTGAACGGTAAACTAAGTAGTTAGATCCCACCTCCGCTACCTCCCAGTCTACCGTGAGATGAGAACATGATCCATTTATACCCTCGAACGGTCTAGTGAGTAGCTAGAGTCCGCCTCTGCTACCATACGGTCCTTCACGAGCGCGGTTAAATTCCGGTTTCAGACATCTCGCGCTGGTTCGCCGCGTGTATAAGCGTTTTCTTTTGAAATAAAATTACGTGTTTAATATCTACTTTATTTTTTTAATTTCTTAAAAATTGAATTATACATACAGTATTAATTATACATTTTTTGTGAGTTTTAAATCCTTACAGCTTTAAAAAATAGCCCATTTCTTAGATTATATGGGTGAAACTGCAAATCAACGGCCCTCTAGGGCCAATGATTATTTTATGGCATAAGTAACGCACGGTACTTTTCAGCATCATTATATTTTTTTTACTTTTACAGCTTATTATTTGACTAATCAAACTGTATGAATTCCGAACAAATATGTTTTTAGTAAGAAGATTTTAGTTTTGAGAGGTCTCAGGAGCAGATGTAAAATTTCTCACTGAAAACGTTTCACATTACATGTCACCACACTAGGGCATTTCATTGAGTAAGTCTCGGGTAAAGTCGACGGGGGTCACTAGTATTACATGTTTGTAGAATTTGAACATGTTTATTACACATATGTTCACACTGAATTAAACAGTCCGTATAAGTGGAAGTATTTGAACTCCTTTAAGTCGCTTTCTTGTGTTCTTTTAGTATGCATTTAAAAGCTCTTCTAGTTTGTCTTTTCTATTTTTTATTGCAAGATCCACAATACAGTTCATAATTTTCGGATTTATTTTCTTCTTTTATTGTGCCTTTGTTATTTTTTTGTGATTGCTTACAAGCTTTTATGAGATTGGAACGCTTTTTGTTAAACACTTTCTTAAATGTTTTTTTATGTTTTGCGTTGGTTTTCCATTTCATGTAAGAACAAAATAATTATGTTTTTTTACGGGCAAGGGGAAATCGTGTTTTACAGCTACTTTATATTTTATTTTTAACAATATTATCAATAACGGTGCGATTAAAGCTACTCTTGTATGCTGTTTGTTTGATAATATTTCATTGTTTATTATTTTTTTTAGGGTTTGAGGATATGAAAAGAAGTATACTGATGTAAGTGTTGTAGGTAGACATATATGTGAACATGAATGGATATAATTATTATGCATAGTAAGGTATGCGTGGTTAGGTTTGTGAAAACTACTGTATTCTAGTTGATAGTTTATTCTGTATATTTTCAAATCTAAAAAAATTATGTTTCTGATCATTATTTCGTTCAAATAAAATTTTCATAATCTTGTGCAATATGCTAATGCATAAAAAAAATATATATATAACTATTTATTTGTACCGGCCAAACATTAGATTACATCGTTTATATAATGATGCTAGAATAGTAATTTATTACTAAGATTATGGCTCACGATATCTTCTTCTAAATGATTCATGAAAATTTAGGATAGAAGCGTGCTTATGGGATCACCTATTGTAAGTATGCCTATAGTGAGAAATATTTTATATCGAAACTTAAAATAATTTTGTTTAAGCATATTTTGAATATGTGTATCCAAGTATGTTATACATATATAGGGTACAACGTTGCGTTAGCCTCGTCCGCGTCCTTGTCGTCGCAAGTCTTCGGGACTTTTGGACACCCGAATCCCCGAATGACCCGAACCCGACACACGTAAACAGTGCAGGGACACACAAAACGTCATTACCTAGTCATTAATGTCATTATACTACATCGAGGGGTCACACACACTCACATAAATAATTGTTATATCAAATTGTTACATGGAAATGGAATATGGAGGAAAAGATACAGCGGTGAAACCCGGGAAACTGTAGTATGCATGGTAGAGAGGATACATATATATATATATATAGGTACCTAGGCTTGGTATTTGCAGGGTACATATGCAGGGCGCAGCGCCGAATTATAGCTCCAATATTACGCACTGTAGGTATACGTACTTATACCCAACAACAGGACAAACAATTCGACGGCAGGAGAGGAAAGTTGAGTTGAGTTGCCTTCGCGGCTTGGGAGTTTAGCGGTGTTAGCTTGCGGTGGTGGCAGCAGCGCCAACCAACGTTAACCCGAACGTGTGCGTGCGTACATATAAGTTGCTCCCGTGAGTCAGGATACTTACGCATCAGAGACCGGCTTGCAAGATGCTCGCGGCCCCGAAGAAAGACGGCGGCCCGAATCTCAAGTTCTTCGACTCGTCGGAGGTCCTGGCCCAGCTCGACGCAGTCAAGCAGTGGCTCCTTAAGAACGCCAAAAAGGTGAGCAAATCGAAGCTGTCTCCAGTAGTTGCTGATTTGGTCGTTATATCTGCTTGTTGTGTGTACAGTGTACGCTAGGGCTTTTACAAAACCCCTGTCGTCCTCGGCGTCTTGGTGTCCTTCGTTCAGACGCGATGAATAACGGGGCAACCCGGACTCGCTCTCTCGCGTGTATCAATTATTTAGAATCGCCTGATTCGCGTAAAGCGGCTTTCCACTGGTTGCAGCTCCATAACCTATATTATTCACCGGGCCATTCGTGCGCGTCGTGCTTTTCAACGCTATATTTTGTGTCTCTCTCTCTCTCTCTCTGTATATATATACAATTATATATGTGAGCGCGCCCTTGCATACTGCATTACTTTTTTGTTTTTGTATTTTCTCTCTCCCCCCCCCTTCTTTTATCTATTGATATTTTAAGTACTCAAATAAGCAATTTACTACGTCACTCGGTCTGCTCCAGTGGAAGATTTTGTCTAGGTTTGTCTAGTAGCTGTTACTGCTCAAATTTGCTTGATGTTGGATGATTTTGTCGATGAATGACTTGGATGACAGTTGTCTTTAAAAAATTTAACACCACAAGTCTTTTATTGTTGTTTTCATTGTATTTTTACAGTATATACAAACAGATCCTCCAACAAACAAAAGCTTGTCAACGCTAATTGTACAGATTCTTCAATTTCAAGAAGATAATCTTGGAAAGAATGTTAATAAACCTCCTATGACGAAGATTCCTGTACGTACAAATTATCGTTACAATTCAATCCTCCACATATAATTTTTGAATCATTTAATATCTTGATAATGATATTTTTCAGATGAAATGCTTTTTAGACTTTAAACCAGGAGGTGGCTTGTGTCAAATTTTATTGACAGCTTTTAGGTTTAAGCAGGAACAAGGATGGCGGAGATTCGATTTTCCGGTTGGAAAGGTACTCTAACAAGTTACTTGTTTACTCCAGAACACATTAATAATTGTATAATGTATTAATTTTTTTAGTCTGGTACAAGAATAGATAGAATGATAGAAATGCTCATTGCCATAGAGCGTGCACTAGTACAAAGTAGGTGTTTAATTATTCCAAATGTATTTGTGAAATCTGACGTTGATAAAGCTTCAGCTGCTAAAGTCAAAGAACTGGTACGCCGGCATCAAGGAACAATAGCAGAAAGTGAAGACGAGGCTACTCATATAATTTATCCTCTTGCTGATTGTTTGGATGAAGAATATGCAAGGCCGTGTTTTCGCAGAGATCGATTTGTTTTGTTGCACTGGTACTACTTTCCTGATAGTTACGATTCCTGGATCAACTTGGATCTTCCTTGGGAATACCCTGAAACAACATTAGGAAACTACGCCTTTAAGTATGCTGATGTTGTTTACTTGATTAAGAAAAATTATTAGTTTTGTACTATATGACATTATTGAAAAAAAACAAAAAAAAACAAAAAAAATTTCAGATCCACATATAGAGTTGGAGCTAACTGGATCATAGATTTAGAACAGTACAATGAGTGGATGAATGAAGAAGATTACGAGGTTGATGATAACGGCCAAAAAAAAATTCACAAATACAGATTATCTGTTGAAGATTTCATGTCTCAATCAGCGCCACCTTCATCAGCTAAAAAACAAAAAAGGAAACGATCGCCATCTCCTCCACCAAAAATGGGTAAAAGAAAAAGGTAAAAACGTTATTAAATTTAGAGTATTTTGATGATAATGAATGCCTTACATATTAACTAAGCTGTTTTTGTTGGTTACAATTATTTAGCGGACGCGGTCCTTCTGGTGTCCAAGGTATATCAAATTCCTCATCAGGCCCTAAAAAATCCAGGGGTGGTGTTGATGAGGAAGAAGATTTGACAAAGGGCATGGAGGATCCATTAGCGGAGCCAAGGATAATGGAAGTTGTGACTTCCAATGCAACATCAAATTCAAGTCAAAACAGTACTACTGGAGGTGGTATAATTTCCAGCAAAAAACAAGACAACGAGTTGCAACCGTTAAAATCTGGGAACATGGCTGATCTTGATGAACCTGTCGAAGGGGATAAAAGCAATTCTCAAACTTCTCAGGACAGGGAAGAAAGAGATCACAGCAAAGAACGAGGTGATGGCAGTAAAAGTGACGAACCGGAAGACAATGTCACGGAACAAACTCATCACATTGTGGTGCCTAGTTATTCAGCATGGTTTGATTACAATTCCATTCACACAATCGAGAAGCGAGCTCTTTCCGAATTTTTCAACGGCAAAAACAAATCCAAGACGCCAGAAATTTATTTAGCATACAGGAATTTCATGATTGACACCTATCGCTTGAATCCCACTGAATACATCACTTCGACGGCATGCAGGTAATCATCAAATATATTTCATTACAACTCACATTTAACAGTATTTCGGTTTTGCGCTTAATCACGCAATATTTCTTTTAGGCGTAATTTGGCTGGCGATGTTTGCGCTATCATGCGCGTACATGCCTTCCTCGAACAATGGGGCATGATAAATTATCAAGTGGACGCTGATTCCCGGCCTACTCCCATGGGTCCACCACCTACATCACATTTCCACGTGTTGTCGGATACACCTTCTGGTCTTGCTCCGGTCAATCCCAATCCACCTAAAACGCCTCAGCCATCTGCAGCCAAAGCTCTTTTGGATCTCGACAAGAAACCCGTGATTACGGACGAAAAGCTTGCTGCTGCAATCGGTCCAATGGCAAACTTTGGCCTGAAAATCGACCAGTATTCAAAGAAACCCGCTGTTCTCAAGAATAAACAAGCAGCGGGAGCAACGCGTGATTGGACGGAGCAGGAGACACTTCTACTGCTTGAGGCCCTTGAGCTTCACAAAGATGACTGGAACAAAGTATGCGAGCACGTCGGTTCGAGAACTCAGGACGAATGTATCCTACACTTTTTGAGATTGCCAATAGAAGATCCTTACTTGGAGGAGCCCGAGGGATTAGGTCCGCTGGCATATCAGCCTATACCGTTCTCAAAGGCTGGTAATCCTGTCATGAGTACAGTGGCCTTCTTAGCATCTGTAGTTGATCCAAGGGTAGCGGCAAGTGCTGCAAAAGCGGCAATGGAAGAGTTTGCTGCAATCAAAGATCAAGTGCCTCCTGCTTTATTGGACCAGCATTTAAAGAATGTACAAGCAAGTGCCAATTCAGATGGTTGGTAACACGCAATCATATTTGTACACTTTTTTTTTTTTTTTTTTTTTTCTAAATACTAGTACATATCGAAAGTACACGTTTTCTCTATATTTTTCAGGTAAATTTGATCCAGCAGCTGGTCTTGCACAGTCAGGAATTGCTGGCACAGGTCCCCCTGAGCCTCCCGAAGAATCGAATAGTAATGCGATGAATGCTTCGAGTCAAGCCTCGTCGACCGTAGCTGCAACTTCCCCCCAATCTACAGCTGGAGCCGATGGCACCAAAAAAGAAGAGACAACTACCGAGAAGCCCAAGGAAAGTACTACCAGTGGTATTGGTAATGACACTGAAACTCTTGTTACAAAAATAGAAGAGACCTCGAGCAGCGAATCACCTGCAGAAGTTCCAAAGAAGGAATCGGAAACACCGCCCGCTGAGAATGAAAGCAATGAAAAACCAGTAGCGCAGCCACAAGAGCCTGAAAAAATGGAGGTGGCAACACCTAAAGAAGGCGACGAAACCGAATCCAAAGCAAGTGAAGACGACAGTGAAGTAAGCAAAGACAAAGAAAAGAAGGACAAGGTAATAAATTTCTCAAATAAACTAAAGTATATTTAATCTTTTTTCGAAACTCATTTTTGGAGCCTCCAAATAATTTATTTATTTTTTTCATCAGATTGTCAGAGATGCTCAACTACAATCAGCAGCAGCTGCTGCCTTAGCTGCTGCTGCTGTGAAAGCCAAGCATTTAGCAGCTGTAGAGGAAAGGAAAATAAAATCCCTCGTTGCTCTTCTTGTTGAGACTCAAATGAAAAAACTCGAGATTAAGTTACGTCACTTTGAAGAGCTGGAGACGACGATGGAGCGAGAACGAGAGGGTCTAGAATACCAGAGACAACAGCTAATCACGGAACGACAGCAATTCCATCTCGAGCAACTGAAGGCTGCAGAGTTTAGAGCGCGGCAGCAAGCACATCAGCGACTTGCTCAAGAGCAACAGCAACAACAGCAGCAGCAGCAACAACAGCCGCCATCTCAGAATCAGCATCAGTCACCTTGGCAACCAGGAGGTAACTCGGCAGGACAGACCGGAGCATCTGGAACTCATTCACAGCAAGCAACTGGCGTGTCGCAACATCAGGCTCCCGCGACGCCTTCTACGCCACAACAGCAACCGCCGCAAGTGACACAGCCACCAAGTCCGCAGACAACGCAGCCGCATACGCCTCCACAACAGGCGGCGTAAAGTTCCTTTCGAAGATGCTGACATGTGTCACGTGGAATCATGTTGTCGTGAGGCCAAAATGGCATTTAAAGATAACGAACAAGTTTTGTATGAAGGTGGTAACCTGCAGCTTGCGACTACTAATTTTTTTAAAAAAGAAAAGGCCAACAGGTGTACCGCCAGAGGACTCGTTTCTTTAATTGCATTCGAAACACTAAGATGCGTTTAGATTGTAACCATCAGATTTTTTTTCTCAGGATGAATAGAATAATGTGGAAAAAATAATGGTTATTGATTTCAAAAATTGCGCTATGGGCTGAAATGACAGCGTTTTTGTCATTCCGTTTATTGTAGATATTTAACAGGCGTTAGGCTTATCGAAATTTCTCAAATTTGTAGTAATGAGATTTATCCAAGTCAATGAAGATTATTACATAATTTCTTTTTACTAAACAGCATTTATTTAAATGTTCTATTTTTTTCACAACTACATAAAAATTTACAGGCATTAATTAAATTCAGATTTAATGTCCAGCCAAAGCGTGCAATTGAATTTTAAACTGCTTTTACGCGTATAATTGATAAACAGAAAGTAATTATTTAAATAGAATGCGATCGTGAAAGAGTCGAACTCATTTTTGTAGAAAGTGAATGAAGCTATGGAATGTTTCAAAATATATGTTAGTGAAAAAAAAAAAATTCTGTTTTATCAGTGTAAAACTTGAAAAGAAGAGACTTTGTTTCTTTACTTACCTTTTAATACGATGTATTATTCAAAAAGTAATTATTAGAGAGGGGAAAAAAAAGAAATGACGAAACAAAAAAGGCAAAAAATATTGTGAATGAATGTTATTCAAGAGTAATGAGGCGTTATTGTTGGCACCCAGTTTAACTTGGTGTAATTTGAGAAACTGCTAAAAGACAACGGCAATCATTATTTTATTTCAAATCTTGACTAAAAATTTTCATGTTCATAAGTTGTGTATTTTGCAGTAAAATTAATGACACTGTAATTTACCTGGAGACTTTATACAATATACTATTGGTAAAAGTATACAACGTAAATTTACTCAATGAAACTTACAAAAAAAACCTTCTTTTTTTATGATAATCGCCGGATCAACGTAACTACGCTGAGTATGACATTTTTTTTTTTAAGGGAAAAAGGTAAACTACTTATACATAAAAGTCTGAAGACTCCAAAATGTGAATTCTGTCTCCCTGAAACTCAACCAAATTTGTCTATTTTACATCTAAATATAATGAATATTGATAAAATTGTATATTTAAAATATAAATAATTCGTTTGAGTTCTGTCTGTTCAATTTGTAACTGTAGAAAAATAATACATTTATTGCTAAATTTTAATATATAAATTGAATTTCTTTTTTCCTTTCGACATCATCGTATGACATACACATTATAATCTAAGTTGGCAATAAACTAGGTATTACTTTTCTATAAAATAGTATAGAGTTACGAAAAGAAAGTGTTCAGAGTCATCATCTTTCATGACTAGGAATAATATAATGAACGTTCGCAAAAGATGAATCAAAAGGACTCATGAGCGCCGTTATTCAACGCATCGAAATAACCACTATAATATAATGTACACATATTGTGAGCAGCATCAGCAAGGTTTACAGAGCACGATTGTAAATGAGCTCAACGACGAGGTCGGTCATGAGCCGGGTGCACTCTGCATTAGCGGGTGGAGGTACCAGCATGCTGTGCTCAACTTCGGCACTAGCCTCCTGGCCCTCGTACAGATCTGGCGCCTGGTCGCTCGCGCACGTACTGATCGGCAGCATGTCCACGGCGAGTCCCAAACCGAATCGGCCGCAGCGACGCATCTCCTCCGTCAACCTGTCAATTGTACGATTCAACGTTGCTCGCTCAATTGCACGTAAGTGTGCATCAGGTGTTACTTACAAGCTCCACATGACGATGGGATCTCTAGTCGATTCGGCGGTAGGATTCAAGGTGCACAGAGAGGACATGAGGTGACGATGGTAGTGCTGCAGCAATTGATTCATAAAAGCCTTCCTCACGTCCCCGCTGGTACAGCAGTAGAATAGATACGCCAGATCCAGCGCCAGCGAGCCCACGCGCGATAGTTGAAAGTCGACCAAGCAAACGGCCTGCCGTCGCGTAGGGGAAAACAAAAGAGAGAAAAAAAAAAAAACAGTTTTAACACAACGAATTTTGACACACTCGGAAGAAAAAAAAAAAAAAATATATTGTTTCGAGACGAACCTCCGAGTCTTCCGAGGGTGAGGGAGCGGCGCCGTCGGTGTCCCGAAAGAGAAAATTATTGGTCCAGCAGTCCCCGTGGCAGAAAACGGTGAGAGGGCCCTGGTGCGAGGTCAGCTCGCACATGGTACGGAAGAAGGAGTCCTCCCTGAGAAAGGCCCCGAATTTACCTAGAATCTCGTCCCGTCGGGTCTCCAGGTTCTCGGGTAGGCCCTCCGAGACCATCTTGATAGCGTTGCTCGTAGCCGCGCGGTAATAGCGCCGATACCAGGTCGCGTTCTCCATGCGAAACAACGTCTCCTGGATACTCTCCCCCGGCTCCGCGTCCTGTCGCGACAGCTTGGCGAACGCCTGCGGCCTTTCGATTCACAAACGATTATTTTTATTTTTTTTTTCTTTAATTCCACCGCACGGAAGGACACCCCTTGTACGACTGACTTTTTCTCTCTCTCTCTAACTAAGTATTGTAAATATATTTCTTCTTCGCTCTTGTTGCAAATAACTATTGTATAAAAACGAGAGCGAGTGTGAAATTAATCGGTAGTTATGGGGCAAAAGTACGGCGTAACCGAAAGAAGACAGAGAAGAGGGAAAAATACCTGAGATCTCTCAGGGTGAGGCTGAGCGCGTGAAAGCCGGCCAGAGCTTTGAGCACGCGCTTGAGCTTCTCGACCTGCAGGCCCTTCCTGCGATCGGCCATCTTGAAGCCCCGAGCCCTAAGGTCCTCCATGGCGATGAGGTCGTCGCGCGCCATGTAAACCTTGGCCACTCCGGTGAAGACTGTCCTGCCCCCGGTCTGTAGCTCCGCCATGACCGGCCAGACTTTCGTGTAAAAGACTACCTCGTTCCTGAAGAGGGTCTCGCTCTTGAAAAAGTCTCGCTGCTCCCGCGACTCGGGCAGCACCTTGTAGATCATCGAGCGCTCCCAGGGTTCGTCTCCTCCGTTGTTGGCGAGTCGCTTGAGGCCCTTCACCTTCAGTCTGTACAGCATCGAGGTGTAGTTGTCGCCGCGGCCCGAGCCCGGCTCCTCCTCCACTTCTTGGACCAGGACGTCCGGCTCCTCGGCCGAGATGAGCTCGCGTATCGCTTCCAGGCCCAATCTCGAGCTCGGATTCTGTTGGGCACGAACTTGAGGGTTTTTACGAATGGAAAAAGACTACCGAAAATCTTTTTTTTTTTTTTTTTTTTTTTTTTTTTTTTTTCTTTTCTTTTCTTTTCCTCCACGTAGCTTTGCCGCAATACTTAGGTGACGGCAACATGCGCAGCATTTCAATTGATGACAAATTGAGACGGCAATTTCTGTCGCGGAAAAGTATCGTGTGTGACCCTTGAGCATTAGGTCAAGTAGGATTAATCATGTTCAATTACCGAGTCATTCGTGCAAAAAGTATTTTCAAGTTTTACACAGTGCTCTCAAGATTATTGTATCATTAATTATAATTTTTTTTTTTTTTTTTTTCATCAAAAACATAAGTTTATTACATCAATGATATAAAACGACACGGAAACTCTACATATAAATATTGTTACGTACTCACCTGACTGAAATCCAAGTTTAAAAGTAGGTAATGTACAATTTCAAATGTAGGTAATGATTTTTACATTGATATCAAGTGACTGTGATATGTTCGATCGTACAAAACCGATGTGTTAAACTTGACAACGCTTCATCAAGCGTCGCGCGAAAAACTGTTTGACTGGTAAGACAGGATGGTTTAAGCAAAAATAAAATTTAAGTGCAAGCGTAAGTAGGTACCCACCTTCTCCTGGCCCTCCATGATACAGAATTTTCTTTTTCTCCCAGCACAGTCTGAACCGTCGATGACAAAATAGCAGATCTGTTACCCGGCAAAGAGTGGAACTCGCTCTCCATGCATCACTCTCGGTCGGCTTGAGGGAGCGAAAAGCACAGAGACTAAACAGTATAGGTAGCTGCGTGCAGGGAGAGCACTAGCACAGAACGGGAGCTGATGATGATGATTATAATGATGACGATGATGATGATCGTGATGCTGCTGATATGCTCATGTGACGTGAGACATCGAGCCCCGCTGATACCGCAGGAAATGAGCATTTAGATTGCAATGGACAGGCAGCCTTCCATCACCAATACGTACATACATGTATTACATATCTCTCTGTTTCTGTGTATTACATTATTTAGTTAATCACTTGCTGAGTCCGTAGCCCACCAACAGTACAGCAGCACCGAATTGCTAAAGCTCAAGGGACAAGGACATTACGTGAAATAAAAATAATATTTAATTTCAATTTTTTGCCATTTTCGCAACTATCTCCGACTAAACCCTTTTTTTTCAGTAGTTGAAGAATAAGGTATAACATTCGAACTCGTGAATAATTTTCAGATCGCAATTCTATATCGATATGTGTAAGAAACAACGTTTTATTGTCTTAAACGCAATCTTTCTACAGTTGAAACAAGCGATTGTGCTTATGTTTACGTATATGTACAGGAGAGTGTGACGAGATGAATAATAAACAACAATTTAATGAAATAAATGACTTGACAACAAGCTAAGGCTGAATGTAATCGTTCAATTCGATTTGATCGTTAAATGAGGATATAGTCCAGGCTTGCTTTTGACCTACTTATGTAACACTATTCGAGCGCAATGCTTCGTTTCGTTGTTTACGCCTGTAATCGGAACTGCTTTAATCTTCAGTTATCGCACATGTATTTTGTTTATGCTTATTTTTCAAATTACTAAGTCCTTTGTGTAGCTTTCGCTGATGATAATTCTTCACCAACCAATTCTATCAACCGCTTCTCTTGAGATTCACTTAGGGGTATGTTATTTTTTATTGCCCTGGACATTGAGCCAGTATCCATTAGTCCAAAGTCGTTGGCGTATTCTACACATGCCTAATAATAATAAAAAAAAAAAAATAAAAAAAAACCAACTAAATTATTACAGTTTTGTTTATCTCTCTATAACTTTTTCTAGATTTAATGCCAACTTACCAATACCCCAGGAACATGACCTCTCTCAATACACGCCGTGAAAATTTCTAGCAGATCTTTTGGATCTATGGCTCCCATTACTGAATCCTGTGATTTTACCAAGTACTCTAATATGTTGAGCATTTTCTCAAACTCGTTTCCACGAACCAGTAAAACGGCTGCACTTCCATAAACATTTGCCGGCCACATAGTTCGCTGTAATCTTTTTTGGCTTACTTCCTGCATAAAAAAAAAGTATATTTTAATTAAATAATTTTTAATTTTTTAAGGATTTATTATACATAATGAAAAGCTTACTTTTTGATAAGTCCAGAATGTCCATACCGATTGTGCATACAGTTCATGTAATGGAGATCCTTCGGGAGGACAACAAACATGTTTCATCAACTTGAATAAAAATTTCATTATTTGATGTCTGTCTAACATGTCAAACATGACGACTTGGGACGAAAACTGAGGAAGGAGTTCCATGGCTTTGTTTTTATCATTGACTTCTAACATTTCAAGAATATCTCTCATTAGAGCTGGCTCAGGAATATATACGTGGGGTACCAGGTAGTTATAAACTTTCATAAATTGATCAATTGATTCACTTTGCAGAAGAAGTTGTAAATAATTACGGTAGTAAACACTTTCCTACAAATAACAATTAATGATACATTATTTGAAACAAGAGCTACAAAAAGTAGTGAAAACTTACATTCAACCTTCCACCGAGAAGTTTGTAGTTATCTTTGGTCATTAATAATTTGTGTAACCTATCACCGGCATTTAAATTAAACATGTGTTTTGAAGCAACTTCCATGGCATTAACGAAAAATGATGTATCACTGGGATCTTCAATTTTTAATTCTTCTCTTTTTTCCAATTCATCCAATATTTCAAGCAAAATATTGCTCGGAGTGCCAGCTGTATAAAACACATAAATTAGTGAAAGTATGGAATGGACACCATCAACTTGATTTAATAATCTCTTGACATATATTATTGACTACTCACTCGGACGACAGAAAATTAATAATAGGTAGTAGTAAGATGCTAGACTGGGATTGATATTTATGGATTTAAACTCTGCCAACAGAGACAGAGAAAATTCCTTGGCCATTAACTGGACAGTAAAAGTTGATAGGCTTTTGAGAACTGCATTGAGTGTTCCAATATTTGGTTTGACTCCATTTTTAGTCATAGCTTGAAGCAAGCTCGTTAATAAAATTTTACGATCCTCATTGTTGTCTTTCAATACGGGCACTAATGTAATTACATGATTATAGGTACTGGTAGCAAGAGGTATTCTTTTTTGTACACATTCATTGTATAGCGACCATGCTTTATCAACCTTGAATAAAAAAAAAATAATAAATAAAAAAAATAGATTTATTATTTTTTTCCCCAGTACAAAGACGTACATTTCAAGACATGTAAATACCTACCTTCAAGTATTTGGATGTTCCACATATCAAAGCGTTGTAAGCTCCAGGAGCAGTTGTTTCATCCTGACACAGCTCTCCAAATAATTTTTCAACTTCAGGATTATTGCTTAAATAAATCAAATAAAATTATGCGTAATGTTTTTCAATATTAATTGTCATTTCAAAAATATCGAGAGATGATGATAGTTACGTCCAAGTGTTTTTGGTTATTGGAGCATCTACTTGATAAGAAGCCTCCTCAGGAAAATCTGAAGATTTTTGTTCTTCAGAACTATTGTAAAAGCACAGTAGCTCTAAAATGGCTTGCTTAGTTTCTTGCGAGACATTTCCATTCAACAAGTTGTATACATGAAGAGTGTTGGGAACATTTCCCAGTTTTATCATTTTCACCAAGATCTCTTCTGAAACTTGACTCTTATTTTCGTACTTGTCTGGAGGTAAGAATGCCTAAAAAAAAAGTTTTTTCTCAAATTTGCTGCAAAGGTATAAAAAACTTATGTACATACGTAAACCAAAGGTTCGGAAAGTTTGCTCTTTAAAAGATCAGCGTGTTCTTGAAGAATCCACTTTGCAGCTCTTTTACCAGATTCTTTGGCTAAAGAGTAAACTCTCTTTTTGCTTAGCGATGAAGGGATGAGGTACGGATCGTCAATGTACTTGTAGTCAGGAGCAGTTGGATCACGAGAAAGAGTTGACTCTAGAGCCTGTACAAAAGGTAAACGAAAAACTAAGCTCGTAAAGTCTAATTTAAATGAGCTGTAATGAAAAATACAAGAAACAGTTAGCGGTACAGTACGTGTAGTATATCGGTTGGTCCACGTTCTTTTCTGGCAGGAATTTGTACCTCATCCGAGATTTCAGCAGACGTCGTCGAGAGGGACTGAAGCTGCAACACGACATTTCGAAAAGTTTTCCTAAAAACACAATACAAGATAACATCAATAACCACGCCTCAGACAAATGCATGCACAAATCAACTGAAGCACTTAGAAATTACACTTGGATAATGGAATTGCAACTACAGTAGTACGTACAACACATTGACAAAAATTTACCTGTCTACAATTTTGGCTCTCAGTGAATTCATTGCTGACAAATTCGTTATAATTATTAGTTGTCTGACAATTTGACAAATAACGATGAGAAATTTAGTTGCTTCAAACGTAGAGGTTAAGTAAATAATGAATCAGTTTTTGCTGTACAATCATTGATTTTTTTCATTTTTTATTTTTCACTGATTTACATTATCGACTGAAAAAATATTTACTGTATCACAGTATGTTAATTACAACAGATATTTTGCCTTTTAATATATATATACTCTGCGATAGAATGCTGATCTCTGGAGCGATCATTTACGATTCTATACGTATATTATATATAGGTGGGTACTGTATAAACTTTGTCGTCTGCTGTGTGTAAATTTTGCATACTTTTGTATATATATATATATATGCTGATGATAATTCTTCACCA